CGTGCGTATTGCGTAGGCGTCGTAGTGTGCTGCTGTGGCGGCGGCGGCGGCCAATCAGAGCAATTGCCTGCCTGACCAATTCCCCAATAAGTGTGTTTCAGATGCATCCACCTCGGCCACTATCTTTTGCCGCGATGCCTGTGCCACTTTGGTTTTGCATGCCACCATAAGCTGCGCCGCATACGATGCAACGCTTTTTGGAAGGCACGCTGATCTGATATGCAGCTGCCCGTCTCGTTGAACATGGCAAGCAGAGAAAATGAAATGACAGTGCCAGTGTTTATTTTGAGTTTTTGTTGTTGTCTACTTTTTTCATCGTATCCATTAAGTTTGACAGGTATTAAAGTAAGTAAGTTAGCGTAAGTTAGCTTTATGCGTATAGGAGTAATGACGAAGCTTGAACAGAAAGGTTAAAAAGCGTAATCAAGACTGCAAGACTGTGTACAATTATGTGGATGGTTAGGTTGGCGTGGAGAGTAAATTTTAAGGGAAATTCCAACGCTTCGAAAATGCTGTTATTCAGCATTAATAGTAAATGTACGAAAGTGTTCCATGTGAAGGTATTTTCTAATGTGTTCTCAAAATTATCTGCGGCAACTGTCATCAGCTAGTCCTACCTAATCTTAGGTTTTTCAAATGTCGCTTTTGCATCTACAGAGAAGAAGTAAATGCGGTCACTGAGATAATAAATTGTTCGCCTGACGTTTCGCATTTCATCGCGCATCCATCACCAGAGACAATATCAGAAATGCGTTATTCATACACAGGGAATTCCGGTATTTATTGGACAATGTTACTATTCTACTGCATACCTAGGATAATAAAGGGATGCCGCTTGTTGAGGATATTTGTCAGCCTGTGGGCTGGCATGCAGGTCGCTACCTGCTGAACTTTTATTACTCGTGCTAGACTTGGGTCTAATGATGGCTTAATCATTTGGTTCTCTAGCGTTGGCGTCAGAAAATACGTTTGTCCGTACGCTCCAGCCATTGAACTGTTTTAGCTAGACCGAGTGTCAGTACCAAGTATGGGTTTGACAGGTCGTTTAACTCGTTTCTAGCCTAGGGGACCGTAAACCATACTTCAAACAATTCGCGACCTACAGTATTGTCACATCTGACGAGAACTTCGGCCCCATCAAATTTGTATGTGTGCCCGGGTCTCGTTGAATAAGGTGTTATTTATTCGCACTGGTACCGCGTGTTCGGGAGTTCTTACCTTAAGAATTCTTTTAGTTTCTCTGATATAACTGCTTTGTCCACAAATAACCAGATGCTAGGGACGACTCTAAATGTGGTTTGTCATGTCAGTGTCTCTTTTGATGTTGTCTTCGATGTGCATGTGACTACAAACGCAAGTGATGCGAGAAGGTGGCTGACGACCTGTAAGAAACTGTTCTTGCATCTATTCATTATCGTGATGGGCTACAACGAGTCACAGAAACTGGAAGAGGAGGTTTTTTTTAACCTGATCGGCAAACACACTTCCCGTGATAAACACTTTGCCTTATCGTGGTATTTAGAAAAAACGATCCCGTGACTCGTTGGTAAAGTCCTGGGGTCAGTACTGACTTTACGTTCAAATTCTAAGTGTCCGGAT